AAAGAGATACCCAAGGCCCTTTCAATTTGCTGTTCCTCAGGGTGCCTTAGAGCCTTTGCACTGACTCCTATCTCTGAACCTTTTTACTTCTGTGTTCTCTGCTGGCACGCTCTTCTTCTCCTGATGCTTTTTACATGACTGGTTTCTTCTCATTCAGGTCTCAGTTCAGGTGTTTCTTCCTCAGGGAAGTCGTTCCTGTCTCTGAGGTAGCCCTGCAAGTTGTTCTCTTATTCTCTTATCACTTTATTCTGTATACTGTCTTCACAGCACTTATGATCTGAAATTCCTGTTTGTTATTTTACTCATTTGTTGTCCTCTCCCCAACCGCTGTTGAAAACAGGGACTGGCTCTGTTTTGTTCACAGCTGTATCTCTAGCATTCAGAGCAATGCCTAGAACTTGGTGTAGGCCCTTAACAAATATTTATTGAATGAATAAATGAATGAAGCTGAAAAGAATAGAGGTAAAATATCAGTGATTAAAAATAATGTGACCTTACCTTTTGTGTCTCTTTAAATCCTTAAGTGTTAACTTGTATGTTATTTCACTCTGGTATTTTGTTCAGTATGAATTAGATTCTTAAGAGCCAGCTGTTTTTTGGTTCCCTCAAAGACTTGATGCTAAGTTTGGATTTAAAAAATGAAGCTGGAGTGTGAATCTGAGAAGAAAAAAAAATTGATTCATATTCCAAAAAGGTCTTTATTGTGTTATGACAGTAACTCTCTCCTCATTAGGATTTCTACCAGTGGTAATTTGGGGGTCTGCCCCTAAGAGATGGTGACACTTCGGAAATCTGTGGTGGGAAACAGTCCTGGATTTCCTCTCTGAGGGCAGCAGCCCTGCCAGCCTTAGACAAACAGTGTGTGTAGCACATCCTCCCTCTCTCCCTCCCTCCTTACTAGCTTCTGATCAATCTGTTAGCCCTGCAGCAGCAGTTAATTGGCAGGTATAATTCCCGTGTCGGGCAAGGCTGGTACTGGAGGATTAGGATAGTAGCTGTCATGGGTATAAGGTTTCTAGCCTGGAAGACAGAAATGGGATGTGGGACCAGCCCTTCTGTTAAGGGACAGGGAAAAAGAGTTCGCTTTGTAAAAATGATGCATGGAAGGCTACAAGTCCAGGAGTTATTTTCTCACTGCCACCAAAGTCCCATTTGATGAAAAACAAGTGATGTTTGCCCCTGTAAAGTCAGGTGAACTTGTAAAATATTATTGTCCTTTTTGTGCTGCATCACCAGCATTCATCTTTCTGAAATCTCCCTCTGGTTTCTGACGTTGAGCTATTGGAGATA